TGCATAATTTAAACTATGCTATAGGAATGGTCATGGGTGATACACCGCCTGATGTTAGTGGGACTCCTGGTGGTGTACACTAGTCCATTTTTAATATTTGATCTCGAAAAGAAGATTAATAAAATTAAAAAAAAACATTTGTACCTTTAGGTACATAATTTATATCATTATAAGTTGATAATCTTCTATTAAATTTTTTACTGCTATAGTGCGATGGTTAGGTAATATGCAAGATTATGATCAATAATGAGGAGGATTAAACTTAAAGGATTAAATTTATATAAGTCCGAATCTTAGGGTAAGGTTTGAAGTAGAATATGTTTACTTAGAGGATAAACAAATATAAATTGAAGTACATAACGAGTTTAAGGATATAAAAATTATAATCTTGATGAGTATTTGATTAATTTATATTATGGCATTATAAGAACTAAAAAACAATTCTTGAAGCTATTAAAGAGCAACAGAAGTCTAAGTGTCGTATATTGTTGTACATAGTAAAAAAAAAATTTTTTTTCAGATTCCTTAACTTAATTAGGTAAAGTATACTTTTGATAAGAGTAGGTTTAGCGTTCAAGTCGCTAAGGAATCAAATTATAATATTATAATTAAATACAAAATTTATTTTTATATATTTAATATAGAGACTTTAGTTTAAAGGTAAAACATGTGACTTTTAATCATTATAATATGGGTTCAAATCCCATAAGTCTTATTTTAAGTATTGAAAAAAGGTTTAGTTCTATATATTTTCATATATATTTGTATTATAGGGAATATCTTTATATAAAAATATTCTAAATTTAAGCATGCTTAAATTTTTAAAAACGGCTATAAGTTAATGGTAAACTCGTTGTCTTCCAAACAATAAATATCGATTCGAATTCGGTTAGCCGTAAAGGTAATAATTTAATTATTAGGGTTAGTAACTTAATAGGTAAAGGGTTATCTTGTCGAGATAATAGATGCGGGTTCAAATCCGGCCTATCCCGTATTGGAAAAGTCGCTATAGGTAAAGCAAGATATTTGCTAAATATTGTGTTATTACACTTAGATGTTCGAATCATCTCTTTTCCGTTAAGTGTTTAATATTTTTTAAAGTAAAATCATAAGATAAAAATTATTATCTAATATAGAAAACCTCAATCGATAATTATAAACATCTTATTTTAATCTCTATAAATAATATAGTTGAATATTTAGCTCTAGAGGTTATTTAGTTTATATATCTTTTTATTTAGAATATAACTATAGTTATAATTATGTTAAATATATCTCCTCTTTGTATAATAAAATTAAACATTTAATGTTAGTGATTATAATAACTAAGTTAGTTTATTAATAATTTTAATCTAATTATACTAAGATATAGTAATTAATAGTAGTAAATATTACTCTAATTAAATATAATTAAGAATCATTAGAGGTGTATTGAGGAATAGATTATTTATAATTTAAATTGAAAGAGTGAGGAGAAGATACGAAATAGACTAACTAGTAATAGATAATAGTTTATAGGGTTATTAATAGCAAGGGTAGTGTTGTTTTTTTTTTTTT